TTTATAATTAATTATTAACAAGTTTATAATTTGGCTTAAAAATATTTTTTAATTTTGGCCGAAACTTGATAATTCTGACCAAAATTATACCTGATACACTGGCTAACCCACCCACTCCGAAATCAGCTGATTTCTGGAAGCCCCTAATATACAAATTAATTTGTAAAAATTTTTTAATATTTCAAAAATTTGGCTATAAAACTACCTTTAATATTCTAACAAAAAAAATTTTTTACTAAATTTTGTATATATTTAACACCTTAATAAAATCCTAAACCTTACTTTAACTCTAAAGTAAATAAAATAAAATCTTTTTTTAATTTATTATTATTGACTAATTATACGCCGGTGATAATTATTATTAGTTATTTTAAGTAAAATCTTTTTTTAAAATTAAGATTTTATTAGTACTAAAAAATTATTTTTAAAATTTAATATTTTTTATATATAGTAAACCCCTTTATAACAACCTTTTATAGTTACAAGATTAACATAATTACAAATTTATTTTTATTAATTATTTATAATTACAGTATATAAAAAATCTCTTTATTAGTTATCTCTTTATAATCACAGTTTTTTGTATTTTAAAAGTATGACTATAGAGAGGTTTAATCTATATTTTATTTTTTATTTTATATCAGAAAATTTTTAAATAGAGTAAATATTGATTACCAGCTACAGGGGCAATTGCCATCGATCAGAAAAATTGATAATAATCGATATTTGTTTTTAATTGATATATAATCAATTAAAAAATAATTAATTTTAATTTGTTTTGATGCTAATTTATTTTCAATCAAATAATACTAATCAATATTAATCGATTTTAATCAGCATCAATCAATTTTAATCTGTATCAATAACAATTAACAGGGGTGCTGCTTATCGATTGCCAACCAATTTAAAAATTTCCTGATGTAATATAATCTTTTTATTTTTATTATAATTTTAAACAACAATCAAGGTTTTTTTAAACAAATTTTATATAAATTACAGTATTAAATTGTATTTAATAATTGTTTATTAAAATACTGTATTAAAATATATTATTATATATATAATATACACTTTTAAAAAAATTATTTTATATATTAGATTCTAGATAAAATTAATTGATTATTAATAATACATTTTATTAATAATAATATATCATTTATATACAAAAAATTTCAATTCTTTAATTTGCAAACTTAAATCAAAAATTAGCCTATTATACGTAAAATAAATTAATTTAAAAAGGTTAAACCCGGTTTCTTAAGCACATAAAAAAATAAAACCGCTTTCAAGTTCTAGATTAAGCCCATTTTTCGAATTCTACAAGTTTTCGAATTTAAAATGGCTTTGAATATCGAAAATAACCAGCCGCAATAAAAATATCGTAAAAATTTAAGCGATTGTTTTATTATTATTTATACCACGGCTATTAGAGTCGCATAAAGGTTATTAGCATTACTATATAAGATATAGTTTATAATTAGCTATTTATATGGTACGTATTGATAATAATGAGTTCGTTATGATGAGGAGTGACTCGTGTAACATCGTGATATTAGTAATAATAATACTCCGTGATCCTGATATGATCCGAGTACGTATTATAACGATAGGGAAATCTCACTAATTGTTTTGGCTAAATAATTAGAGTTCTTAATATATATTATCTTTATTCCTAAAGGTCTATAATAAACTTTACGGAGTAATTAATGCTAGATCCTTCAACTAAATTCGAAAAGGTTCGATCACCATGTGGCCCGGAATTCGTATACCTTAAGTACTGTATTTGGTGATAATCTACATGCACGCGACAAAAATTGCTGGAATGTTCGGGAAGTGTGACGATAGCCCGAGACTCCCCGACTGGGCTAAAGATCTCGGACAAAATACTGAGTTTTCACGCTCTGTGTATCAATGTTATCAATGTTGTATCATTATATGATGCGGAATCGAACTTGCTGGAAAGAAATGTCGTAAACAATTCTTAGGTATAAATGGCCTGGCATTTTATTGCCTCTTCCAAAAAAAAAAAAAAAAATTTTTTTTCAAGCACAATACATTACGCGAAAAATACCGAATTTTAAACAAATTTCATAAAATTTTTTTTCTTTTTTCAAGCGTTATCCAAGTTTTTGTAAAACAAAGAAGGCGAATTCACAAATAATATTAGGTTAACATGGCAGAAGGAAAAGCTGGTACGAAGATATTATTTTATAAAATAAATAAAATTTTATATTTTGTTTAAAATTGATATATATTTATTTTTTGTACACTTTTAGTTGGTATCGATTTGGGGACGACATACTCTTGTGTTGGTGTATGGCAAAACGACCGAGTTGAAATCATTGCAAACGACCAGGGTAATCGTACGACACCTTCATATGTTGCTTTCACAGATACAGAGCGTCTGATTGGTGACGCTGCCAAAAACCAAGTCGCCATGAATCCTTATAATACTGTTTTCGACGCTAAACGTCTCATTGGCCGTAGATTTAATGATCCTGAAGTGCAATCTGATATGAAGGTATGCTAAGTGCTTAATTTTTGTGAGATAGGGTTGTTCCAACGCGTTTATCCGTAAATTATACGTATTAAACTTTTTTTCTATGTCCCTATTCTTAATTAGCATTGGCCATTTAAAGTTATCGAAAAGAACACTAAGCCATATATTCAAGTCGAATTTAAAGGAGAAACTAAACAATTTACACCTGAAGAAATATCGTCTATGGTTTTACTCAAGATGAAGGAAACTGCTGAAGCCTTCCTTGGTACAAAGGTTACAAATGCCGTTATTACAGTTCCAGCATACTTCAATGATTCACAACGTCAAGCTACGAAAGATGCCGGAATGATTTCCGGATTGAATGTTCTCCGTATCATCAACGAACCTACAGCCGCAGCTATCGCTTACGGTTTAGATAAGAAGACCGCCGGTGAACGAAATGTGTTGATCTTTGACTTAGGTGGTGGTACTTTCGATGTTTCTCTTTTAACCATCGAAGAAGGAATTTTCGAAGTAAAAGCTACTGCCGGTGATACGCATCTCGGTGGTGAAGATTTTGATAATCGTCTTGTCAATCATTTCGTTCAAGAATTTAAACGAAAATTCAAGAAGGATCTTACTTCAAATGCTCGAGCTTTACGTCGTCTACGAACTGCATGTGAACGCGCAAAACGTACTTTGTCTGCATCCGCTCAAACTTCAATCGAAATCGATTCACTTTTCGAAGGAATCGACTTTTATACCTCCTTAACCCGTGCTCGATTTGAAGAATTAAATCAAGATTTGTTCCGATCCACTATGGAACCGGTCGAAAAAGTTCTTCGAGATGCCAAGATCGATAAATCACAAGTTCATGAAATTGTTTTGGTCGGTGGTTCTACTCGTATTCCTAAAATACAAAAGATGGTATCAGATTTCTTTAATGGCAAGGAACCCAACAAATCCATTAATCCTGATGAAGCCGTCGCCTATGGTGCTGCTGTACAAGCTGCAATCCTTTCTGGTGATACATCAGAAAAAACTCAAGACTTGCTATTGCTTGACGTTGCTCCACTTTCTCTTGGTATTGAAACCGCCGGTGGTGTTATGACGCCACTAATTAAACGAAATACCACCGTTCCAACAAAGAAATCCGAGATTTTCTCCACATACTCTGATAACCAACCGGGTGTACTTATTCAAGTATATGAAGGTGAACGTGCTCGTACAAAGGATAATAACTTACTGGGTAAATTCGAATTGACCGGTATTCCACCTGCACCTCGAGGTGTACCTCAAATCGAAGTTACATTTGATATTGATGCCAACGGTATTCTTAATGTATGTTTTACTTTATTTTTTTTTTTTATTGGCAAATAAATTGTTGATTTTTTTAATATAATTTCTTACGATCATATAATTTATTTCCTTAATAGGTATCTGCTGTTGATAAGACAACTGGTCGATCAAACAAGATCACCATTACTAATGATAAAGGTCGATTATCTAAAGAAGAAATCGAACGAATGGGTAAGCTTTTTAAAAAAAAATTTATTTTTATTTTCATCTTCCTGTGTAAAAAGTTATAAATTCTGATAAATTATTTTGATTTGAATAGTGGCGGATGCTGAGAAATACCGTGCAGAAGACGAAAAAGTTGCCCAAAGAATACAAGCACGTAACGGTTTGGAAAGTTACTCTTATAACTTGCGAAATACACTTCAAGTAAGTTTTATGAATTTTAAGATTATTTGTAATTTTGCTTATATAATAAACTAAATATTTTATTTCATTATAGGATGAAAAAGTTTCAGGTAAAATAGACGCAAGTGATAAAAAGAAACTTGAAGATTCTATTTCAGAAA